ATATATAGTTGGTGCGACTGAGCTATTTTTTATGAAATAACTGATGGAAATTAGAAGAGCATTTCTTAAATCCTGAATTGAAATTCTCCGTTCCAGTTTCAATTTATGTTGCTGCCACATGAGCGAGCTCCTCATGTCTATACCGTGTTGTCAGCGGTCGGCAGGAAAACAAGTCAGATGCCATCAACTGTTTCTACATCGTATGACACTGCTATGTCATTCTGCAGTATATCAAACCCCTATTTAGGCAGGTGGCCATTTAATTAATAGGGGTTGGTCGGTTAATGGGGTTAGTGTACTTTGAATATTTTTTACCATCGGGTTGGGTTAGACCTGGGTTAAATTCTTAATGAACTTGGAATCACGTCAAGACAAACAGGATAAACGTGACGGTTTTATCAGTAGTCAATCTATTTTGGACTTTTATCGTCATCGCCTTTTGGACAACAAAGCTAAACTACGTGTATTTTAAAATTTTGGGTAGCTGTTTAATGGGGGTAAAGACAATGATAGGAAAACTCTCGCCGGGATGACAAAAGGTGGCCGCGGTCGCTTTATAGAGGCGGCTAGTTTCTAGCGGTTTTACTTGCAGTATGTTACTGACAATAATTTCGGGACTTTGATAACTGGCCGCTTAATACGGGGTGGCCGCTTAATAGGGTCGACTCCGGGGGTTAGACTGTATGTAAGCTAGAGCTAATAATCCGATGCAAGAGAGGATCAAGGTAAGTAAGTACCTTGATCTTTCTCTTGCTGTGTATCAATGTCTCAGTGCGTTGGTGGACTTTTCAATTTTAGTTTGAAGAAACGTTGTTATGAGTACGTTCTTGTTACTTGATGAAAATTCTACAGGTTTTGTTTTCCCTGCGCAACTGATGAATCACGAATTGCTCTGTGTCATAAGCGGTAGTGACCTTAAACTTGCAAGTAGTCCCTCTTTCGCTTAGCACTAGGGAGTTTACGAAACCACGACGGCGACGCCGAGGACAACGTCGATTAAAACATGGATTTCTATTTTACCTACGAATCTCGCGATACTTTAAAGTCATTTACTTTTTTATCACTGTCAAAACTATCCCAAAACTAAAACCGGAACACAGCGATAAATTTGAAACAAAAATTTAAAATATCAGCCATCCTGGTTCACGTTCTCCAGACAACGCAAAATTTGGTCATTTCATGTTGTTGTCTAGCAAAGGACGGCAAAGAAAAGTACCAAGAATTATAACGCACGTGTACAGCCATTGTTCTGCTCATTAATTCTTTTGTTTCGTGACGTTCCCGTTGCCGTTGCCGTCGTGGTTTCGTAAACTCCCTAAGAACGTACTCATAACAACGTTTCTTTTTTCAAACTAAAATTGAAAAGTCCACCAATGCACTGAGACATTGATACACAGCAAGAGAAAGATCAAGGTACTAACCTTGACCCCCTCTTGTATCGGATTATCATCTCTTTCTTGCATACAGTCTAACCCCCGGAGTCGACCCTATTAAGCGGCCAGTTATCAAAGTCCCGAAATTATTGTCAGTAACATACTGCAAGTAAAACCGCTAGAAACCAGCCGTCTCTATAAAGCGACCGCGGCCACCTTTTGTCATCCCGACGAGGGTTTTCCTATCATTGTCTTTACCCCCATTAAACAGCTACCCAAAATTGTAAAATACACGTAGTTTAGCTTTGTTGTCCAAAAGGCGATGACGATAAAAGTCCAAACTAGATTGACTACTGATAAAACCGTCACGTTTATCCTGTTTGTCTTGACGTGATTCCAAGTTCATTAAGAATTTAACCCAGGTCTAACCCAACACGATGGTAAAAAATATTCAAAGTACACTAACCCCATTAACCGACCAACCCCTATTAATTAAACGGTCACCTGCCTAAATAGGGGTTTGATATACTGCAGAATGACATAGCAGTGTCATACGATGTAGAAACAGTTGATGGCATCTGACTTGTTTTCCTGCCGACCACTGACAACGCGGTATAGACATGAGGAGCTCGCTCATGTGGCAGCAACATAAATTGAAACTGGAACGGAGAATTTCAATTCAGGATTTAAGAAATGCTCTTCTAATTTCCATCAATTATTTCATAAAAAATAGCTCAGTCGCACCAACTATATATGTAAAATGCTTTTTGCTCCGCGAAAGAAACGACCCCTCGAGAATAACGAGCTCCCGAAAGTAACTAGCCCCAAATGCAGCTAATTTCGAAGGTAACGAAGATCGTCACTTTCGATATATTTTACGGTATATGATCCAGGTATGTGCTGAAAAGCTGGGTTCCAAGTGTTAAAGTCAAAGTCGTGCTAAAATCAGACAAGTCGTTAGTGAGCTCTTTCAAGTGAAGGTGATGCGATTTGCTCACCAAGTTAATTGTTATTCGCCGTATTTCCCTGAATTATCAGCTTTCCAAAGAGAACCACCGGGGCCTACTTACTAGTAATAGGTTTATTACGGCTAATGGGGATGTGCCACTAGATGGGGTCGCATTTTCATGAGTGGATTGATTGTCTGAATGGGGTTGCATTTTCACGAGTGGATTGACTGTAATGCAGTTGCATTTTCGATAGAGTTACTACAGGAGGTTGCATTTTTTGAGGATTTGGGGGATAAGAAAATTCTGACAAGTAGGGATTTGAAGATGGAAAGATTAATGGTGAAAAGTCGTTACCATTCCACATTCAGTTAAACAATCGTGTCACTTCATTTTACGATGAATTAGTTCAACAAGTTGGGATCACGAAAATGAGATTAACCCCCATTAAACAGCCACCCTATTAGATGGGTTCTATAATTGGTCACAGAATAGACTATAACGGGGTAATTGTTCTCAGAGGCCAGCCGAGCACGTACATACCCAAGTAATCTCCCCGGCCCCCCGTTCACGACCCAGTTATGTTTCTCATTAAAGCGTCTTATTGTTATTCTGAACATCTGTTCTTTCTCAGTGACGAAAGATTAGCCTAAGTCTCGCCTCCCTTATTAACAGGGAAAGTACTCAGAGCCCAGATGGTGCTCCCTAAAGTGGACTATACGGAAAAGGGGCCCTTTTTCAGGCTGGAGTTATATTAAAACTGGTAGATTGTCACGAGCTCAAGTATAAGAAAGGGTAGGAAAAACTGTCATTTAAGTATTTAAAAGGCCTTTCAAAACATCTAGTACAGGCAAGGTTATAATAATGACGAGAAGGTGCGAAGACCTATTTGGACACGTTGGGTGGGACTTGAAGGAATCACTGAGAAATTTCTGTAACCATCGCGCCGATTCGGTAGTCCAGTGTTCGATAGCTCCGTTGCTAATGACCACTTACTTTTCTTCTAAACATTTATACGGTGGTTCCATAAGATTTTATCATTTTCTTGCAGCCACTCGAGAGATAGCATTTATCCATTTGTCTGTACTGCCTCTGTATACGTGCGTGACTGCGAGAAGGTCGTAGAACTAATGCAGCCGGTTTCAGAAAACAATTTGACTGAACATTTTCTTGGGCGATTATACCTAGAATGACACAAGTGACAAAGAAGTCTTTATGCGCCACCTCTTCTCTTGTCCTCCCCATCTCGATATTTCTGCGCCCTTTGTGCTTTTTCAGAGCTAATTTTTAATTCATCCACAATCGCGCCGGCGAATAAGGGCGAAGCAGGTAATTCGGACCTTCACCGTGGTTAACAGGTTATTTTCTTTATGGTCAATAGGTTGTTCGAACAAGCGCCGAAGTAGCTTGTAAGTGATAAAGTTTCGCCTCCGCATGCGGTGTAAAATCTTGCTGGAAGAGACTGGCACCTCTTGAAGTTGTCGCATCGAAGCTAAAGGAAAAATACTATTTTCCTGTGCCAGTGCGGCTCGTGTACGAGCAACTTCAGGATCTATTCTTCAGAGCAGTCTCAGTGAGTGACCAAACGCTGGTTTATCTCGACAACTCCCCAGACTACTTCGAACAAAACGACACCGTGGGCTACCCTGGAATGCTGGGACGGTCGTGCAGGAGCGCTATGTCCAAGGACAAATGCGAATATTTCAGTCGTTTCTGTAAACATGGTTGTAACCTGAGAGTTGAAAAAGTGCAGCGTTATAAGCGGGTTAATTGTACGTGTAAATTTATTTACTGCTGCAAAGTTGAATGCGAAGAATGTACGGAAAAGTCATATTTTGAAATAACTTGCAATGCCTTGAAAGCAGTGGAGACAGATGTCAAAGGGCGAGCCCATCCCTGAGTTAAGCTCTTGAAGATGAAATGCACTTTTTGTTTTGATCACGATATGTTGTATGATGATTTTCATGTGAAATGCACTTTTTGGTGAGATCATTGAACGAAATGTAATATTTCAGAAATAACGAAGCCTATCTTCTATAACTTGGAATTGAAATAAAATAAGCGAATGGTTTCAATTTCTTTCTCTTACTGGCAGTTTTGGCTTTCTAACAGGAATAGAAAACATTATTTCAGTCGATCGGGTTTTCTGGTTACAGAAACCACGGATGAAAGCTTTGAGAACTCAAGAAAACTGTGAATACTCACCTGCACTCTCCCTCTCGTGTTTCTACATGATAACTTTAGAGAAACATTGAAAATGCTTTATAATTTTCTTAACACAATATTCTTACCTCTTATAATTTACGTACTCATCGTTTCTCATAACTGTATCAGCAATTTCGTGTAGAAATGGAAATACTGAAATAAAGTTGTTGTTGTAGTTTAGATAAGTTAGTGCTTCTTTGATATTTATCTTTTTTTATTTAGCTTTCAATTTGAAAAGTAAAATTGACCGTGATTGCCTTTTTACGCAGCGTTTTAGACTTGTACAGTCACTTAAATTACACTTCATTGAATCTCAAGAAGTTGCTCTTTTTTAATCCTCCTACACGGCTACACGTCCCTCTCACACCCTCTTCACCTTGCTCGTTTTTGTTGATCCGAACTTCTGTACTTTCACAGTGCATGGTTTCTTGGTATAAACATGTGCGTTAATAAAAAGAA